ACACACATACACATACACATCAACGCCCAACCTGAGTTGATGACTGACTTGCATCAAAAACCGTGCAGAAGTCCGCCTCAGTAAAGAAGCAAGTAGCGCCCTTATCGATATGTTCAGGGGATCAGAAAGGACTTGGACATGTCCCAGGAATTGAATGTGGAGAACTTGCCAGCGATAGTGTTTCAAAGTTTATTCTCTATAAGGATTACAATGCTGAGTTTACAGAAATTTGGTTATTGTTTGGTTTACATGTAGTAAAATTGTGATTACAGAGTGTACCACTAGAACGCTTAGCATGCTAGGCATTTCGGGCATACTTAGTTTTATTCTTAATTGTAAAATATTACAAATTATGAGGTAAGTTGGTATTATGGCTAAGTGACTAAATACTAGTTTGTGAGTTTAGCAATGTGAATGCTTTTGTTTTGGCACAGTATATAGTTTCAGTATTGGAGTATCACAGGATTCATTATTTTAAGACTGAGATTAATATTTCTGTTCATGGTCAAATGAGTGAGCGAGTGTAAGTGTGAACCACCAGGTGGTATTCGTGTAGTTAGTTGACGGGGTGTATCAGGAGATAAGATGTTTTCTAATGGTAGTTTTGAAGGTAAATGAAGTGTCTGCAGTTCTAGAGTTCTCAGGTAGGTATTCCAGATTTTAGGGCCTTTGACATACATTAAATTTTTTTGTAAAGGTTTAGTCGGACAGGGGGAAGTCGTAGAGATGTTTGTTTCTGTGTTAGGGCCTGTGGGTTCTGTCACAACTATCAAGAAAGCGTTTTAGGTCAAGGTTGGATATTAGAGTTTAAGGCCCTGTAGATATAGATTGCACAGTAGTAAGTGTGGATGTACTGAACTGGGAGTAAGTTTAGATCTTTTAAGAGTGGCGGGGTGTGCTGCCAGGGATGGGATTTAGTGATTATTCTTACTGCAGCTTTTTGTTTGGGGTTTTTATTGGCTTTAGGTGTGTTGCTGCAGTTGATCCCCAAGCACAAATAGCATAGGTGAGGTATGGATAAATAAGCGAGTGGTATAGTGTGAGAAGGGCATTTTGCGGCACGTAGTAAACGTATCTTGGAGAGGATCCCAACCGTTTTGGATACTTTTTGGCTATAGATGGATATGGGTGCTGAAATTCAGGTGTTGTCAAGGTATAAACCTAGGAATTTTCCCCCATTATTTCTGGTAATTAGAGTGTTGTCAATCTTTAAAGTTAATTTGTGCATCCCTGCTCTGCTGCCAAACATAATATAGTAAGTTTTGTCAGTGTTAGCGTAAGTTTATTGGCTGTCTCCAAGTCGATATTTTAATCAGCTCCTCATTCCAATGGTGTTGAGGGTGGCAAGTTTAGGGTGAGAGATGACATAAGTCGGTCATCACAAAGGAATGGGTTTCAGGTGTTGGGATACTTTTTGGAAGGCATTGATTTATATGAGAAGGGCAGGGGACCAAGGACCTTCCTGGGGAACTCCAGTATAAAGTGGCCGGTTGCTGAGCTGTGTCTTTAATGGTGACGTACTAAACCCTATTGTAATGTGGATTTGAAAAAAGCAAGCGCATCCCTTATTCCGTAGTGGTCAATTTTGTGGAGTGGGTTTTTCGGGGTTTACTGTGTCAAAAGCTTTTCTAGGTCAAAAAAAAATTCCTAGTGGATTTCCCTTTATTTTCCAATCTGTGTAAAGCAGATCAGCTTTTTTATGATTGCATCATTAGGCTTTTATTTTTCCTGAATCCAAATTGGCAGGGGTTGAATATGTTTTGAGCCTTATAAATAATATAGTCTCCTGTGCACGAGTTTCTAAAAAGTTTTTGGATAGCAAGGGGTAAGTTAATATTGGCCTAAGTTTTTAAGTCTGTAGGGCACCCCCTTTATGATTGGGAAACGACTGAGGGCAGAGAGGGGCCCCGGGGGCAGAGAGGGGTGTAAACACACCAAAAAGGCGGGATAGAAGCATATCAGTCAGAAACCCTTTATCACCGCAGCGAGCTCAGCACCAATGCTATTTACCTTTCCCCGGGAATGTAAACAAATATCAGTCCCCTTCCTGGACGTAAACAGAAGTTAAATCACCTTCGTAGATTTAAAAGTGCAACTCATTTTCCCCACAAACATAAACAGATAAAAACTCACCTAACAAACAAAAAACAAATCAGGGAAAACGCGTCTTCTGGTTTTTTATGACTCTGGTCGCAGTTCTAACCCCCCCCGTGATTGGTTTTTTTCCCAATGTGTCATTACGATTTCGTGATCATGTAAACAAAAAAAAATATAAACTCCATAACACAGGACACAAATATCACTAACTTTATTGAACGAAAAAAAAATTCCCCACACTCCACGAACGAAACAATAATCCCACTCACCCTTTCCCCGAAAGGGAAACATAAACCCATCACCTTCCACGAAGGTAAACTCAGTCCCACTCACCTTCCCCGAAGGTAAACATCATCCCCTCACCTTTCCCGAAGGGAAACATCAAACCCACTCACCCCACGAAGGTAAACATCAAACCCACTCACCTTCCCAAGGGAAACATCAATCCCCTCACCTTCCCGAAGGTAAACCAATCCCCCCTCACCTTCCACGAAGGTAAAATAACCCACTCACCTTCCACGAAGGTAAACACAATCCCACTCACCTTCCCCGAAGGGAAACATCAACCCCCCCACCTTCCACGAAGGGAAACACAATCCCACTCACCTTCCCCCCGAACATCCACTGAAGTTGGTGAGAGTGAAATAGTTGGAGCCCGAAAAAAGCAGGGCCCAAAAACCCTTTAAAAATCGTCTGAAACAGAAAAAAAACCGTGGGGAAGCAAGCAGGGGTGTGTGGGGGTGTGGTGTGTGTGTGTGTGTGTGTGTGTGGTGGTGTGTGTGGTGGTACTTACCTGTTTGTGGTCGATCACAGCTCCTGGGCCCCCCCCCTTCACGGGCGCTACTAGGTCCACTCTATCTCTGCTTCAGACCTTTTTTCATACCCCTTTTTTAAAACTGTATGGACCTGCTTCACTACACACTCTCTAGTTTGTTCAACTTTTGACAACTCTGTGACTGAAAATTACTTTCCCAAAACCCTGTGATTCATTGAGTTTTTAACTTCCAGTGTGCCCCTTGTTACGTGTCCATCCTGAAACATTCTGTCCCTATCCCCTTGTCAGTTCCTCTCATATTTTTATAGTTCTACGTGCCCCCCATCTTCCGTCCCAGTGTTACAGGTTGAGTTCCCTTAACTTTCCTCGTAGGGCAAACCCCCAGTCTTGTTCAAACCTTTTTCACCTTTTCTGATTTATTGACGTGTTTGACAGGCGTGGATTCCATACTGGTGCTGCATACTCCAATATGGGCCTGACGTACAGGGTGTACAGTGTCGTGAATGACTCCTTACTTATATGTCAAAACGCTATTCTCAGGTTAGCCAGGCGCCCGTATGCTGCAGCAGTTATTTGGTTGATGTGCTCGCTATGATGCTCACCCCAAGATCCTTTTCCTTGAGTAAGGTTTGCAGCCTCTGAACTCTTTGGCTGTACTCCGTTTGCGGTCTCATTCGTCTTTTCCCAAGCTTCATAACTTTGTACTTGTTGGAGTTAAACTCCAGGAGATATTTGTCGGACCAGGCTTGCAGTCCGTCTAGATCCCCTTGTAGGTTTGCCTGATACTCGTCCGCTTGTATTCTCTTCATTAGTCTCACATCGTCTGCAAACAGGAACACTTCTGACTCTGTCTCTTCCATCATGTCATTCACTTCTATAAAAAACAGCACTGGACCTATGACTGACCCTTGTGGAACCCCAGTCGACACATGCACCCACTCTGACACCTCGTCTGGGACAGACACACGTTGTTTCCTTCATTTCAGTTATTCCCTGATCCATTGCAGTACTTCCCCTCCTATTCCTGCCTGCTGGTGTAGCTCTTCAACCAGTCTCTTGTGTGGAACTGTGCCGAAAGCTTTCTTCTTACAGTCCAAGAAGATGCAGTTTACCCATCCCTCTCTCTCTCCTGTCTTCTGTTACCTTGTCATAGAACTCCAATAATTTTTTGATTCAGGATTTCCCTTCCCTGAAGCCGTGCTGGTTGTCGTGTATTAGTCCATTTCTTTCTAGGTGCTCCTCCACTCTTTTTCCTGATAATTTTCTCTGTAACTTTACATACAATACATGTCAGCGGAACTGGTCTGTATACTCACCTACTTGTGATTGCAGCGGTCGAGTCATAGCTCCTGGCCCCGCCTCTTCACCGATCTCTACTAGGTTCTCTCCCTGTTCCATGAGCTTTATCAAACCTCGTCATAAAACTATGTATGGTTCCTGTCTCCATTACGTCACTTTCCAGACTATTCCACTGCCTGACAACTCTCTGACTGAAGAAATACTTCCTAACATCCCTTTGACTCATCTGAGTCTTGAACTTCCAATTGCGACCCCTTGTTTCTGTGTCCAATCTCTGGAACATCCTGTCTCCGTCCACCTTGTCAATTCCTCGCAGTATTTTATACGTCGTTATCATGTCTTCCATAACCCTCGTGTCCTTCAGTGCCGTGTATGTGTGTGTTTAGTATCAATGAAGCCTCAAAACATCGTATTTTAATGCCCATAGTACCCAGAACCGCCACTTTCCCCCACCCTCTTTAGGACCTCACGGGTTTAGAGCCACGGTTCAACACTAACCAGCCACAAGCCTCACTAACGAGAACCATCACCACAACATTACTTTCCTTCGTTTCCTCTACATTCACTTCCAAGACACTTAATCTTATAAATAAAAACATATTACGAAACATTAAGTCGATGTTCAAATTTTGGGAAATGTGAACCAAATGCCAGAGACAAATTACGTCGCAATTAAATTCTGTCGTCATCCTGATTCTTGATATTTATACAATGTTGGCTAATTATGGGCAATGTTGTGTTTGTACTGTGATGATAAAGGACGTTTGTGAGGATAGTGCATTGGAAGGTCGTTAGTGCACTGGAAGATGTGTGTCCTGGGTGACTCTACTGGTGACTGTTGTTCATGTTGATGATCTGTGTCCTGGGTGACTCTACTGGTGACTGTTGTTCATGTTGATGATCTGTGTCCTGGGTGACTCTACTGGTGACTTGTTCATGTTGATGATCTGTGTCCTGGGTGACTCTACTGGTGACTTGTTCATGTTGATGATCTAACTGTGTCTTGGGTGACTCTACTGGTGACTGTTGTTCATGTTGATGATCTGTGTCTTGGGTGACTCTACTGGTGACTGTTGTTCATGTTGATGATCTGTGTCCTGGGTGACTCTACTGGTGACTGTTGTTGATCTGTATCCTGGGTGACTCTACTGGTGACTTGTTCATGTTGATCTGTGTCCTGGGTGACTCTAAGATAAGATATCGTTCGGATTTTTAACCCCGGAGGGTTAGCCACCCAGGATAACCCAAGAAAGTCAGTGCGTCATCGAGGACTGTCTAACTTATTTCCATTGGGGTCCTTAATCTTGTTCCCCAGGATGCGACCCACACCAGTCGACTAACACCCAGGTACCTATTTGCTGCTAGGTGAACAGGACAACAGGTGTAAGGAAACGTGTCGAAATGTTTCCACCCGCCGGGAATCGAACCCGGGCCCTCCGTGTGTGAAGCGGGAGCTTTAGCCACCAGACCACCGGGCGACTCTACTGGTGACTGTTGTTCATGATGATGATCTGTGTCCTGGGTGACTCTACTTGTGACTTGTTCATGTTGATCTGTGTCCTGGGTGACTCTACTGGTGACTGTTGTTCATGATGATGATATGTGTCCTGGATGACTCCATTGGTGACTGTTGTTCATGTTGACGATGGAACTGTCCTGGTTAACTCCACTGTTTACTGTTGTTCATCTTAATGATGGAACTGTATCCTGGGACACTTCACTGTTTACCGTTGTTTATCTTCTCTGCTTGTCTACTGATTCTCTGTATATTTTAATTTGTCGTCTCCTATCATCCGTCTGTTTTTCCAATACTTTACTCTGATATGACCTCTTTGTAGGTCATGTAAAACCAAGACTGTTGTTAAGCTCTTTTTTCTGTTCTTTCACAGATGAGTCAATGGGATGTTAGGAATTGCTTTTTTTTCAGTCTCGTGGTAATAAGGAAGTGAAATGAAATGGATCTGGATAAGTTGAAGAAGTTTAGCCAAGAGATAAGACTGAATCAGTTTACCCTATTCCTAGTATATCTCCTTTGATTTTAAGTACTTTTCAAACAGTTGAGTTACTTAGGTGTTTTACAAGGAGCTCCAATGGAAATATGTTACTTTGGCTGACCTTTTTCGGGTTATTCTAGGTAATCTACACATACGCTATGTATGATAATTTATGTAACTATTTATTTGTGCCTGTACCTGACTGTACAGGTACCGTGAATATAAACAGGCATTGCTATTTACACGCCAGCATGTCTACATTTCTTCCCCGTCCCCCCTGTCTCTCAAGGTCCAAACATCAACATTCTAACCCTCCCCGTCACCTCCCTCGGGAGCTGCGTAAGTTTAGCTTGTAAAAGTTATAATGAAGAGGGAACAGGGGGCAGTGTGTGTGTGTCATTATACTCTCCCCTCTCTGTCAACCTTTTAAAGACAGTATTACAACGTCAATTGACGATGTTTCACCCACACAATGGAGTTGATTGTGTCTTGACGACACCCACTGTGAGTGATTATTGATAACGTGTGTGTGTGTGTGTGTCTGGGGGTGCCTAATGCGTGTTACAGAGATACAGTTGATGTTAGTAGGTCCTTCATAGAGGGTACCTTGAGGCCTTGGAAGGGCTTTTGATAAAAGGCGTTCGGGCTGGTCTCCCTTACCTCGGATCACTCTTGATTACATCTCATTTCCCCCCAGGAGCTGTCTAGCACCTCTCCTTAACTATCACTGTAACTACTGCTACCACTACTGCGACTACTGTGATTACTACAATTACTACTACTGTGACTACCACGACTGCAACCACTACTGTTACTATTATATATCTACTACTACGAGTACTACTAATACTAACAGATATAATAATAATAATAATAATAATAATAATAATAATAATAATAATAATAATAATAATAAATAAATAAAACAATACTGGTAATACAGATAACACAAAATGATTATACAGATAATTAAATAATAATAATAATGGTAATAACAGCAATAATAATAATAATTATACCAATTATATTTTCATTTTTGTAAATACAGTTTGTTATAGTATCAGTCCGCAGCTCGTCTATAGTCCCGTTCAAAATGTAAATTGATTTTATTTGCCAGTAAATAATTCCTAGTGTTCTTCGTGTACTGCTTTTATTTTCTCGTAATTTAAAAAAAATGTGGCAGTGAAATGGAAATTAAGTCCCGGGGAAATAAAAGTCCCGGTGGAAATAAAGTCCCGGTGGAAATAAAGTCCCGGTGGAAATAAAGTCTCGGTGGAAATAAAGTCTCGGTGGAATAAAAGTCCGGTGGAAATAAAGTCCGGTGGAAATAAGTCCCTGGAAATAAAGTCCCGGGGAAATAAAGTCCGGTGGAATAAAGTCTCGGGAAATAAAGTCTCGGTGGAAATAAAGTCCCGGTGGAAATAAAGTCCCGGTGGAAATAAAGTCTCGGTGGAAATAAAGTCCCGGTGGAAATAAAGTCCCGGTGGAAATAAAGTCCAGTGGAAATAAGTCTCGTTTGGAATAAAGTCCCGGTGGAAATAAATCTCGGTGGAAATAAAGTCCCGTGGAAATAAAGTCTCGGTGAAATAAAGTCCCGGTGGAATAAGTCCGGTGGAAATAAAGTCCTGGTGGAAAAAAGTCCGGTGGAAATAAAGTTTTCGGTGGAAATAAAGTCCCGGGAAATAAAAGTCCCGGTAAGAAAAAAGTCTCGTGAAATAAAGCTCGGTGGAAATAAAGTCCCGGTGGAATAAAGTCCCGGGGGAAAATAAGTCCCGGTGAAATAAAGTCCGGTGGAAATAAAGTCCCGTGAAATAAAGTCTCGGTGGAAATAAATCCGGAAAAAGTCCGGTATAATAAAGTCCCGGTGGAAATAAAGTCTCGGGAAATAAAGTAGGTGGAAATAAAGTCCGTGGAAAATAAGTCCCGTGGAAATAAAGTTCGTGGAAATAAAGTCCCGGTGGAAATAAAGTTTCGGTGAAATAAAGTCCCCGGTGTAAATAAAAGTCCCGTGAAATAAAGTCTCGGGGAAATAAAGTCCCGGTGGAAATAAGTCCCGGTGGAATAAAGTCTCGTGGAATAAAGTCTCGGTGGAAATAAATTTCTCGTGTAAATAAAGTCCCGGGGAAATAAAAGTCCCGGTGGAAATAAAGTCTCGGTGGAAATAAAGTCCCGGGGAAATAAAAGTCCCGGTGGAAATAAAGTCCCGGGGAAATAAAAGTCCCGGTGGAAATAAAGTCCCGGTGGAAATAAAGTCTCGGTGGAAATAAAGTCCCGGGGAAATAAAAGTCCCGGTGGAAATAAAGTCCCGGGGAAATAAAAGTCCCGGTGGAAATAAAGTCTCGGTGGAAATAAAGTCTCGGTGGAAATAAAGTCCCGGTGGAAATAAAGTCCCGGTGGAAATAAAGTCTCGGTGGAAATAAAGTCCCGGTGGAAATAAAAGTCCCGGTGGAAATAAAAGTCTCGGTGGAAATAAAGTCTCGGTGGAAATAAAGTCCCGGTGGAAATAAAAGTCCCGGTGGAAATAAAGCTGGGTGGAATAAAGTCCCGGTGGAAATAAAGTCCGGTGGAAAAAAGTCCCGGGGGAAAAATAAAGCCCCGGGTTTGGAAAAAAGTCCCGGTGGAAATAAAGTCCCGGTGGAAATAAAGTCTCGGTGGAAAATAAAGTCCCGGTGGAATAAGTCCGGGAAATAAAGTCCCGGTGGAAATAAAGTCTCGGTGGAAATAAAGTCCCGGTGGAAATAAAGTCCCGGTGGAAATAAAGTCCCGGTGGAAATAAAGTCCCGGTGGAAATAAAGTCCCGGTGGAAATAAAGTCCCGGTGGAAATAAAGTCTCGGTGGAAATAAAGTCTCGGTGGAAATAAAGTCCCGGTGGAAATAAAGTCCCGGTGGAAATAAAGTCTCGGTGGAAATAAAGTCCCGGTGGAAATAAAGTCCCGGTGGAAATAAAGTCCCGGTGGAAATAAAGTCCCGGTGGAAATAAAGTCCCGGTGGAAATAAAGTCCCGGTGGAAATAAAGTCCGGTGGAAAAAAAGTCTCGGTGGAAATAAAGTCCCGGTGGAAATAAAGTCCCGGTGGAAATAAGTCTCGGTGGAAATAAAGTCCCGGTGGAAATAAAGTCCCGGTGGAAATAAAGTCCCTGGTGGAATTAAAGTCTCGTGGAAAAAAAGTCCGGTGGAAATAAAGTCCCGTGGAAATCTAAAGTCCCGGTGGAATAAAGTCCCGGTGAAATAAAGTCCGGTGGAAATAAAGTCCCGGTGGAAATAATCTCGTGAATAAGTCGTCGTGGAAATAAAGTCTCGGTGGAAATAAAGTCCCGGTGGAAATAAAGTCCCGGTGGAAATAAAGTCTCGGTGGAAATAAAGTCCCGGTGGAAATAAAGTCTCGGTGGAAAAAGTCGGTGAAATAAAGCTCGTGGAAATAAAGTCCGGTAAATAAAGTCCCGGTGGAAATAAAGTCCCGGTGGAAATAAAGTCCGGTGGAAATAAAGTCCTGGTGGAAATAAAGTCCCGGTGGAAATAAAGTCCCGGTGGAAATAAAGTCCCGGTGGAAATAAAGTCCTGGTGGAAATAAGGTAGTTTCTAAGTGAGCCTCTGTTCTAAATTTTGGAACTCTAAAACAACTGAGAAGGTACAGTGACTAGGCCTCTAAATCTACTACTGAGACGGTACATTGACTAAGCCTCTAAATCTACTACTGAGAAGGTACAGTGACTAGGCCTCTAAATCTACTACTGAGACGGTACATTGACTAAGCCTCTAAATCTACTACTGAGAAGGTACAGTGACTAGGCCTCTAAATCTACTACTGAACAGTACAGTGACAAAGGCCTCTAAATCTACTACTGAGACGGTACATTGACTAAGCCTCTAAATCTACTACTGAGAAGGTACAGTGACTAGGCCTCTAAATCTACTACTGAGACGGTACGGTGACTAGGCCTCTAAATCTACTACTGAGACGGTACATTGACTAAGCCTCTAAATCTACTACTGAGAAGGTACAGTGACTAGGCCTCTAAATCTACTACTG